TTTAAAGTAGAGGATGTTGAGGGAAAGGGAAAAAGAGCAGTTTGCCAAAAATGTAGAAAAGACTTCAGCTATTGTAGCAAAGGTGGTACTGGCCATTTGAGTAGACATTGCTCACACATGAGAAGGAAGAAGAAGAAGAAGGAAGAGAAACAAAACAAACACAAATTGGGAGGGGGTTTTTGGTACATTTAAATATTCACAAGAAAAGATGAGACAAGAATTACAAAAATACATTATACATGTAGAACAACCATTTTTGTTAGTTGAAGATGCTAAACTTGAAAAATGGTTACGTAATTCTGTAAATCCACAATATAAAAAAGTTTCTAGGAATGACTATTAGATTAGATGCTTAAAAAATTATTTTATTCATATAAACAAAATTTAATTTATTTGTTAAAGTTGCAATTACTTCTAATGTTTGGATTTCTAAATTTAACATAAGTTATATGGGTGTTACCGACCATTTTATTGATGAAAATTGGCTTTTAAATAAAAGAATTTTAAGTTTTACTAGGCTTGAATGGCCACATACTAGCCCAACTATTGTTGCAAGCATTTTAAATACTTTACATGTTTATGGGATTGAGAATAAATTATTTTCTATTAGTTTTGATAATGCCAGCAATAATGATTCTGCAATAAATATTTTAAAATCTCAATTAAAGCCTTGGTTAAATGGTAAATTATTTCATATCAGATATGCATGTCACATGTTAAATTTATGTATTCAATATGCTTGAAATATTATTTCTACTCATATTTTTTAAATTAGAAATTGTATTATATATATTAAAAGTTCAGGGGGTAAGAAAACAAGAATTTAAATATTTATGTCAAAATTATGGTTTAAAATATAAATATTTTATATTAGATGTTAAACATAGATGAAATTCTACCCATGCTATGTTAGAAAGTTGTATTTCTCATAAACAAATTCTTACTGGTTTTTATAATGCAAAAATGCCTAATGATATTATATTTGAGGAAGACTGGGAAATGACAGTTTGTATAAGAGACTTTTTAAAACATTTTTATGATGCAACTAATGAATTATCAGGTATTTATTATCCACCTAATTGTAATTAATTTACCTTATCAATTAATGGTGATTAGTGATTGTTTTGCAAAATATAGAAATAATCCACAATTTAAATGTATTGTTGAAATAATGGAAAATAAATTTAAAAAATATTGGGAGAACATTTCTCCCCTTTATTGCTTAGCTACAATATTAAATCTTAGGATTATGAAAGATGGTTTAGATATTTTACTTGAAACATATTGTGAAAATATGAATATTGAAATTGGAAATAAAAAAGAAGAAATTAATAATTTATTATTTGAAATGTACAGTTTATATGAATCTGAAGTAGTAGGAAATAATCCTACAACTTGTACAACATCTTCTACTTCTGATCTTGAGCCTAATAGTAGAAGAGAAAAACTTTTTTATTTAATAAATAGAAGGCATAAATCTACTACTTATACAACAAGTTCATTTGCTGAACTTAATTTTTATTTATAAGCAAATTTTTCTAGTTTAGGTGAGGGAACAAATAATTTTGATATTTTAGCTTGGTGGAGTGAACATTCAAAAAATTATCCAATTCTCACCACCATGGCACGTGACCTACTAACCCCTTCAGTGTCTTTAGTTCCATCGGAGTCTTGTTTTAGTGCAGGTACCAAGGTGTTGGATGACAAGAGAAGCTGCATTAATGATGAAAGTATAGAGATGTGCATCTGTTTTAAGGATTGGCTAGATGCAAAAGATAAATTACAAGACAAAGGAGGGCATGATACTACAGTACTGGATATTTCATCTGAAGCAGATGATGAAAGTCATGATTCATGAACAATAGTTGACTAGTTGTATAGAATTTTTTATTTTTTTCTTCAAATTATTATAAATTTTGTTTTAATTTTATTTAATTTATTTGCTATTTTTTTAACAATGTAATTTTGTATTTTCAATTTGTAACTATATTGTATTTTTTATATTTTATTAATTTATTCCATTTTCATATTTTATTCATCCAAGTATCCAACCATTGTATGCTTTGTAATTTGTATCATTCAAATTTAAATAAAAATAAAATCCCTATTTTTCTTTCAATTTGTTATTCCATCATTCTTATTTGGTTAAGTATTTTTTTTTTCATTTATGTATAAGATTTCTCATTTCCCATATCCTAATTTTTCGAATAGTTCCCACTTCCCAAATCTCAAAGGAAAGTTAATTTTTTTAGTTTTACACTTTTACTTTGAAAAGAAATCAAAATTTTCACAAAAAAACAAAAAAACAAGTCAAACAATCAGTCTAGCCTAGTTCGACCCAGGCCCAAGGTGGCGTGGCCCCAGCCCGGCACAGCCCAAGCCCATGGCCAGGCCTGGCCCAGGCCCGGGGCACGGCACAGGGGTTGTGCTTGGCCGACCCCCAAATTTTTCACCAGAGAGGGTGGCATAGCCTGTAACGGCCCGCAGGCCAGCATGGCACAACCCACTTTACACCTCTAGAGGCCCGGCATTCTGCATTTGAGGGAATAGCCATTCCCTACCCCTCCCTTGGGAATGAAATCCCATCTCTACTGATTCCAATTTTCATTCCCATTCTTGTATGAACCAAACAGATTATGAGAATAGGCTATTTCAATTCTGATTTCAACTGCAAACCAAATGGACCCTTAGTAATTGACAGTCCATCTTACCAATTGGATCAAGCTAATGTGATAAATCATTATATAATAATTTGATATAATGATTATATAATAATTCAAAAAATAGACTACGACCACTCTTTTCATTACTTTAAAAAGAAAAAAATGAACGAAGATCTCTAGACGCAAACAGACTTCATATTGGATTTGAACTTTAGTTTTCAATAACCATATCTGAATCTGGCCGAATTATAGCCCCATCTACAACCTTATCAAGAACAAAAACGATTATTTTGGGCTAAGAGATGGCTTTATAAGAAATGAGCATGATAAGATGCCAAAGCCTATCTTCTGCACTTAAGGAAAGAGGTCAAGCTAGAACATCTTAGTAGAGTACACACGTCTCATGCTTTTCATTAATGGCCTATTTACTAAACAGTTGAACCCAGAAAAAAAAAACATTCAACTCTTAGGTTTTAGTTTCTTCTTTTGTGATATATTGTGTAATAGATAGGGTTTTGCAAAATAAAATAAAAATTTGAGGTGAATAAACCATAATTTTCACTTTTTCCTTTTCCCTTTTTACTTTTTCCTGAGTAACGATGGCATCATCAATTCAAAGGAACCTGGTCAGTTTTAAACCTTCCAAAAAGTGGCTTTCACAAAAAACAAAAAAAAAAAAAAAAAAAACAAAATTAAAGCAATTCCGCAGATTTGCAATTTATCGTGGTTTTCAAAATCAGATCAGAAAAATCAGGAACCGGTCAAGTGACCAGTTCTTTTTTTCCCCAAAATTTGATTTTTACCAAAAAATGTTGATTTACTCAGCAAATCGTTGATTTGGACGATTAAACCATTCAACAGTTTTGACCATTTATTATTATTTTTTTTGTCAGAATGGGCCGACTGTTCGGTTCGAATGGTCGAACCATTTGACCCAGAAACCAGACCCTGACCGATTTATTATCTGGGTCGGTTTTAAAAACCTTGCAATTTACGGCTCGCTAGCTTCAGACCTCCCCAGCCAAGATCTTTCTCTCAGACTGTAAGCTGGTCTGATCCATTCTATCTGGATCATCCATGTCCTTTTGTATCTTGGCGACTACTTCCCCATGAAACGAGTCTGGATTAATCACTCCGCATTGATGGTTGATGTGGGGCATTATTATTGGTGAAAATGCCCTAATCACAGCCGTCGATTCCAGCTAATCCAGCTGGCAAAAAAAATCCAAAAAGAGTCGTAACGGGGGAAGCTTATTACATGATTAGATGTGACATTAAAACAAGTGGAAGCTTCCACATAAGTGCCTCAAGATACTTGAGTTGTTTAGGATCTTGGGTTTCTTTCCTAGCCAAGTCTTTGAGGAAACCCCATCCATTATTGAATCAAAGTCTCTTTTTTCTTTTTATTTAGATATTTCTTGAGTGGTTGTGTCTACCATGATTCATGACAATTAGTACCTACAATTGCAAGTCCAGCGGCCTTTTACACCCATTTATGAGTGTGTGCTCATGATGCAGTCCAAGTCCACCACCAAAGAAAGGGTCAAGCAGCAGCAGCAGCATCAGTCAGCAGACTCAAAGCATCTTTTTAATAGAACATATCAGAGAAAAATCAAACTAATGATCAAAAGGATAAAAGGAATTTAGAACCTAGCCAAAAGGGAAAGGACTAGAGTTTGTCATGTTTAGAGTAGCTGAAATGGTTAGATTGTTAGATCCATTTTTAACACCAACATCTCATTTGGTGATGATCTGAAATCTCCAAACTATAATACTTTTATGTGGATTGTTTATTGTATATTTGTTAGTAAAACTAATTTTAAGTCTTATTATTTGACTAAAAATTTAACAAGTTCAACAACTAAATCATCCTTTAGTTACTTCTAGTCAAGATAGATATGGGAATTTAATCCTAATCTGAAAAAGATAAATCAACTAATAAGATTAGAATTTTAAATTTAATTAAGATTCTGGGTAATATCAAGTTCATAGCTTATCCTGTCACAAGCCCGAATCTCGAAATTTCTCCTCAATTGCTCTTATCATACTAGTGAGATGTTCCCTTTTTAGGAACAACTGAATCTTACCCATTACCTGCAAATCTGCAATCAATAAGAAATCTGACCGATCCAAATACATGGATTTTCAAGAGTACGATTTGAATTCAAATTTGAATATCTTATCATATATATATATATATCTGATTCAATTAGAATTGTAATAAAAAAGTTTTATGATATAATAATATACAATGCATAATAATATAATATTTCTGATTGGGTTGGGTTGTGACTGATCAAACCAAAGCATATATACATCCGAATTTAATCCATTAACTTCAGATCAATTTTTCCAATCCCATTTATTAAGATGAAGGGAGGTATCCAAATCTAGCTCTTATCAGATGGAATTCGGATTCAAAACAGATCTAATCCGACTTTTTTGCAACACCTACCCAAAAAGCACACATTAAATTAGCCTGACCCATAAATTGAAATCTCTTTATCACACATCCACCCACCAAACACATTAATCTTCCTCTGGAGTCTACAGAAGAGGGCAGAGGGGTTTGGCCAATTACACCCTCAAAACTCAAATGAGAAAACATCAAAAAAAAAAAAAAAAACCCAAATATGTAAAAAAGAAGCTGCCAAGCTCAAGCATAAATAATCTGAGCGCTTAAGGGCACAAAGTCATGGAACGCCTTTGGAGCCCTCACCTCATCCCACTCCACCCAAACCCTCTCCCCCTCTTCCAACACCCTACCCACAGCCACATCCAACCCACACGACACCACATATATCCTTCCGTCCGCACCACTCACCGCAAAAGGTCTCTGCATCGCTTCACACGGAAACCTCCCTCCCTCAACAAACCTCCACGTGTCACTATCTGGGACGTACATCTTCACCCTACAGTTACCATGCTCCGATATCACAAATAGCCTATCTCCCAGTACCACACTCACACCCGTCCATCCTTCCCTCATTCCCACCGTCATTTCTTCCCACGTGTCCTTCTCAGCGTCGTAGACCCCACCTCTCGGCGAGAAGCTGAACGGCCAGGTCCACCCTTCCGTCACGTACATGCTGTTCCCAACCACGGCCGCGTCGTACCTCGCCAACCCCGCGCGCATTTTAGCCACCGGCGCCCATGTGTCCTTCTCCGGATCGTAGCATTCGACCGTCGAGATCGTGTCCTCC